AGCTTCTTGACTATGCTTTCATTGTAAAATCTACTGTCAAGATAATCTCACATCAATGAAGGAACTTTTGTTGAATTTATAACTCAGTTCCCAGGTCTGGTCCTCAAGAATATTATATGTTAATAATAAATTTTCATACATGTAAGGGTGCAGATGGATCAGGTAACCCGAATCTAACCGACCTTCTGGACCAGATAGTCAGGACTTAGGAGAATATATATTCACTGTGTATACAATACATATGTAACTTAAATACTTCCTCCCTCCCTCTCTCATGTTCGTCTGCTTTTATCAGTTCGAGATCTCTTTTGAAAATGTGAGATTCTAGTGATAAAAGTAACCTGGGATTTGTTTTGCATTCAGTTATTGCTATAAAAGTAGACCAATTTATTGGTCTTAGCATGACCTATGACTTCTGAAGTACAGAATTAGCTGTCATTTTTGTACTTGTTGCTGTTTCTCATCAACAACAAGTTCAATGAATTAAATTATATTCTGAAGTTGTATATAATTCTTGAAAATAACTATATAGGTTCTTTTAAATTCAGTGGGCTAATTGTGGGTGTTTTTGTGAAATGTTTATGTTCTTTAAATGAATAATCCAAAACAAATTTTACGAGTCAGTGTTCTTTATCATCTGATTATAGCAATTTTGGTCGACTGCTCATATGAGTGGTTGATCAACCACACCAATCTTGAATGTCACAGGTTGGTTGTATTCGGTAAGAAAGCTCAGCTTAGTGATAAGTTCTGTTTCGGGTTTGGACATGATAGTGTAAAGTCAGGATCAGATCTCAGTTTTAGTCGACCATACATAATCAAACTTTATTGAACCCTGTGCAAATGAAAGGAGAGAATCTGCAGTAAGGCTTGAAAGTTCAAGTGCAAATTTACCACGGTCAAAGCATCATATAAATATAGGGGGAGCTTCACTATAGTGCCTCAGCAATATGGCAGTGTATTATCAAAAACAGTTCAGACATGAGGTTAAAAGGCATATGATATGCATCAAGTGCAGATCTCAAAACAAAACCTTGACAGGCACATGCAAAACAGAGTGGCACTCTGAACAGCGTACACATGACAGTTTGAGGGATATATCGGAGCTTGTTGGGAATTGGTCTCAAAAATTAATTCTAATATTTTTTATCCCAATAATGTGTCTCTCAACTTATACCCCTTCCAATGTGAAGATATGCATCTCTCATTATGAAAACATATGTCATAAACCCATTCAACTTCTACTTAAGAAATATCAGCATCCCAAAGGAATATGCAGATAAATTCACCAATCTTAAGTACCCTCCCTCACACAAACATTTTTTTTCTTTTTTCCTTTTTTTCTTTTTTTTTAGCTGAAGGCTGAAGCATTCAAAATATTGTCTAACCAAGTCTAAGCAGCTAACTATACTTTTGAAAGGAGCTTTCTCCAAAAAATACTAATTATTGAAATTGATTAAAACAATTTAATACAAAGAAAAAAACTTGTACCAGTTCCCAGTCCGGGCCTTTCTGCTTCAGTATTGCTACCAGTTAGTTGTAATGGTAGAATGGCATGTGAATATGCATCTACCTTGACCAAAATAAGTATAGTGAATCATTGCCCCAGAAGGATAAGGTTTCCTGATATTGATCCGGTGATCCCTTTAATTATACTTAAGTTAGAAAAAAAAATTCCAATTTATATGATTTTGACATATATCCCGGAAATTATATAAGTTGTTCATAGCCAATTTCTCTAATTTAACGTAATCTGAGGAAGGTAAAATATTCCTTAAAAATTAACAGAATATTATTTCATGTGCTTCCTCTTTAGGGAAAATCAATATAGGATAATAAAAACACATCGAAAACAAACTCAATTCTTGGTTGACTTTTCTATATCTAATCTTTCTTCTCCTTCCCTTGAAAAATTGAGGAAAATAAGGAAAGGGTCCCCAAATCATTAAGAAAACTAAATAACGTAATATTTCTACCCTGCATTTTATTCTGCTTCTTCTACCCTTAATTTGAAGAAAAAAAGTAAAAAAGTAAAGGCTAAACAAATTGAATGAACCCAACGCCTCAACATTCCTTTATCAAATATCCTCTTTTTTTCTCTTTGATTCAGAAAAGTAACATGATAAAGCTCTGCAAACTTGAGATAAGCTTTAAAGATTTAACCAGACCCGTGTCAGTTTATTGACAGAAAATGGCAGAGTGAATAATTTCAAGTAACCTATATGATATGAAGGGCTTTTGGGTAAATTCCTGATCATGGACTTTTTTTTTAGCTAAGCATGATTGAGGAACCAATAGCAAAACCCAGAAAAATTAATATGCAGATCCATTCAAAAGTTGTAAGGTTCAAAAGCATAAAGCGTGAGGAACTCATCTCCTTGGAAAAGCATTATCCCTTGATACTGGAAAAGTGAGTATGCATGTTTTAGATTTCAACTAGAAAAATTCAGATGAATATCTCCTAAGTTTGTCAACAAAGAATACCCCTGACCTTTCTATTACGATACCATGTTCTTATATATGTATAAGCCTAGAAACTCCTACCAAAGTGGCATGACTTTTTTTTTGGGTACAGAGTTGACTTGACACCTGAGACATTGGATTCATATTCTCAAGGTTGTACACTTAACTATCCAAGTTCAAATCAAGATTCTGAAGTAATAAATTAGTAAAATGAATAAAGTTTGTTCAAGCTTTTCCATAAGATCACAATAAGTTTTAGACTCACAGAAACAACTATAAATTGCAGAAAAATATGAAAACTTAAAATTTTTCTAGTAAATAATACCATGATGAGACGGTTCTTATGATAAACGTTGATGCCAAAAATGCCAAGTACGGGGGCCTCCTTTGCAAAGCCAATGGTGATCCTCACAGACACCTGAATAATTGCAATAACGTTATGGTTCTTCAAAAACGCATACGAAGAAGAGAAATGCATGCAGTCACAAGCGCAACACACAAATTCCATGTGTCTGTGTGCAGTGGAGTGTGTGCGCACGCGCAAGTGTGAAATGGAAGATATCAGATAATGATAATGCAAAACCAAATGCCTTCATATTAGCGAATGATAATGCAAAACCAAATGCCGTCCGGCACTCTTGACTGTCTGGATTTAAACATTACATGCAAATAGCCAAAAGAAAATTTTAAACGCTTTAAACGGATGATAAGAGTTTGAATTGTCATCATAGATACTCATAAATATGGCAAGATGATATTCTATTAGAAACAACAACCTTAGAATATTTTATTATATAGATGGCAAGCTTTCAAATTTTAAATTTACACCTATATTCAAGAGGGAGGGGTAGGGTAACATTTCATTTGTATCTTCAACCAGTTTCTTTCACAGTTTCTTTCATATATCTAACATTCCTGAAGATCTTAAAAATGTCCAAAAGAAGAGTGCAAAAGGGAAAGAATTGGGATTTTGTTTAGTAAAGAATGTTCATAGTTACATACAATATCAACCATAAGGACAGTGAAAAATACACATCAAACAGGTATAATCTTTCGCAAGTATAAAAGCAAAAGGTATTTAAACTCTACAATTTCACAATGAAATTTCAAAACTGTGCCAAGTGAATTTAACTAAAATCGAGAAAACTCTTTAAACTTGTAATAGTCACTTCTTCAAGAGGCTTGAAAGCCACAAACGGAGGACGAATTTCTAACTCTACTCTGCCTTGTGAATTGAACTCTATCTATACTTGAAAACGCATAAAATCTGAACTCATACCTTTATAGATATACACACCTTAACCATCAAGCATGATCAGGAAGGATGGAACTTGGATAAATACCATCACTTGAAAAGCAACCTAGGTAAACAAGGCCAATCTCTAACCTAGCTACAGATTTGAAGCCATGTTATGTAAGTTATAGCTGTCTAAGCCCCACGGTAGGCATTGCAATCTTCTTAAGCATCTGGCTGAAATCTATAACTCACTTAAGCAGCCCGTTCTTTCTTTTTTTTCAGAACAAAATAATCAAAGTGGTTGAATTGTGATAGATTCAAATTCGATTAAGATAGTCCCAGTCTCCAATTTCTTGAAATCTCTATCCTTCAATTTCAAGAAAACTGAAGCAGCTGAAGGAGATAATGACAACAACGCCTAAATGAGGATCTTTAATTTAATTGCTAGCTATCATTATTACTCTTCTTTCCTCTTCTCTGTTTTTTCCCCCAGAACAAAATAATCAAAGTGGTTGAACTGTGATTGGTTCAAAATCGATTAAGATAGCTCAGCCTCCAATTTCCTAAAATCTCGATCCTTTAATTTCAAGAAAACTCAAGCGGCTGAAGAAAATAATGCCAACAACGCCTAAATGAGGATCTTTAATTTAATTGCTAGCTATCATTATTACTCTTCTTTCTTCTTCCCTGTTTTTCTTATCCTGATTTCGTTTTTGCAGTTCTTATCTTCTCCTCCTGTATTCTTTGTTACTTCTACTTCTTTGTTTTCTAACTACTTTCTTAATTGTCCTGTTGGTGTTTTACATTTATAAAAAAATTAAGTTCTTGCAGGCTTCTACTTTTCTGCCTAATTTCCTTTGAATCCCTAAGAAAAACATGTACGTTATTATAGAGACAGATCAATCTTAAAGATTCCAAGCGTTGAATAATAAGAAGTTGAAATTTCGAATGAATAGGTATTAAGGTGACAGACCGAAATCAGGCCAGCAGGAAAAATAACAAAGGCAATCTTTGAACTAGGAGATGCTAATTACTGGCCTGTTTAACCTAACTGTGGAAAGTGTTTTGTCTCTCGACCTGCTTAGATAAATCTATAAACTTGAAGTTTTGCAGTGAAAATGCAGAACATCTGTGTACATATGAAAATGTGATTCAAGTTGTTTCACTGTTCTGACACTGGTCTAGCTTCCTCTTACGAATTTTAATCAAATTTTAGGTTGCTAGAGACTTGAGTGGCACTCACTTTGTTTCCCCCTTCTATATATAAAAAATTCTATAGAATGCATGATAAAACTAATATACTTTAAAAAAAGTGTGGTTCATTACCTAATAATCGAGGATGCAGGGAATTCTTAGAAACAAGTAGCCAGGATAAAAATCATCGGCCACATCATAAAGTGTATGAATATGGAATGGGACATACCAGATAGGGAAATATTAGGTAGTTTGTTGATGATGATGTTGAAAAGAAAATTTGAATATTTGTTGATATAAGAGGTTTCATTCAACCAGATAATAGCTTGTATAAATGGAGAAGCAAACTCATCATCATTTAAGACATTTCTCGTGTTGTTTATGAAGCACAACTCCAAAAAGGCTTCGTGAAAATTTTGAAAGACCTTTGCAATAAGCTGGCAAAGTTATGACTCCCTGCTCATATGGTATCAGACAGAGGAAGCTATCGGCAAGAGAAGACGAGATCTATTAAAACCGATGTAGGTTAATATTCAGCCAACTATGAATTTTATCCAATCTAAAACATCGTCTAGATTCCTCCTCTGGACATTTCCCAATCTAATTTCAACATGGTCATATTAGCAAGGTTACAGAAAGTGCTAGGCGGCCTAGACATCTGATCCAATACCTAGCGTCTAGGCAATTTAGCTTTTTATATTTTTTTAATTATAATAATTAATAGTAAATGTCAATATTATAGAAAGCTTGGGTATCAGGAGGGCGCCTAGAGAGATTTCTTTCTTCATTTAAATGGTGACGGAGGATGAAGGTCGGAGGTAGAAGAGATGTTCATAATTAGATCCTAGAGGAGTCTGGAGGTCAGAGGACATGGAGGCTGCAACGAAGGAAATCACAATTAGAGAGCACAGTCCACATGAGCAGTTCACACTCTCCTAGGCACTTCCGAAACTAAGTGGGCATCCTAGGTACCACCTAAGCGGTAGGCGCCAGGCGTCAAGCAGGCAACCTAGCTACCGCCTAGGCCTAAGCGTACGCCTAGGCGAGCTAGACTGAGGCTTTTTAAAACATTGCATATTAGTAACTAATTTGAAACCCATATACATTATAAATCAGATATTTTGTAGTGGAGCCTGATCAAGAACTTATCTTACGTTCACAATGACATTTTCCACGTATGACCAAATTCCATCTAATATTCAATATGACTATATAAACACAGAAAAGCATAAGTAGCGACATTATTAATTAATAATTTTCTCAAGCATTAACTAAAAGGGATTTAAGAAAATGAGCAAGGAGTAGATGCTAAAGTAGGATATCTAATAGCCAGGCAAAACCATCTTGTCCATCTCTTTCATTTTCTATTTTTCTTCAATCTTCTATCCAATCACCTTCTCTCTTTTTTTCTTTTTCTTTTTTTGGTGTGTTATGGTGGGGACAAGAGCCGATGAAAGGGAAATCAAATATAGTTTTACTATAAGGACTCTTTGTTCCATACATTACACAGTAGAAACTGGCCTATTGGTTATTCATTAGTTGATATTAATGTCAGTATGTGACATTCACACGATGAGCTCAGCAAAGTTTTAAATCATGAATTAATCTGCATACTACAAGAAGGCAAATAGCATTTTTCAATAAAGAAAATATATATTATAAATTGTTGTCATGCCATAAGTAGTCGTTTCATTAGCAAAGTGGTATTACATGTTACTAAAAGAAACCTAAGCGGACACTAGGCGGAAGCGACAAAAAGGCTCCTGAAATTCAAAAACATCCTATTGTCAGGGGACACCTAAGTCGGCTGGCTTTGAGTGTCACTTCATTTAGTAGCTGCTTAAGCAACCCGCTTAACGAATCATTTGGTTGGTTAATTTGGTTTAAAAGTGGATCACCTCCTCAAACGCTCACTCCTCCCTCTCTCCCCCAATCCCTCTCCTTATGAAGTAAGGCTCCAACTACAAATCTTACCTTAGATCACTGCTATTGTTGTCATCGCCATTGTTTAGCTCTATTTAAGGTGAGATTTTCCTATTCAAATGTATATCTGCAGCAGTCAAGCACGTGCCTAGGTGGATGGGAACCGGGTGAAAGGTCCAATGCACTGAATGCTTTCCAAAACATCTATGCAATTTAATTTTATTTGCCACTATTGTACATCTACATATGAACGAAAAAATGCACCGGAATAAATATTTGATGCTTGAATCACAATTACAACATCTCTCCTTTTCTCATGCTCCTTAGCACTAAAGGTGTTTTAGCTTATTCGGTTGCAAGTTCCGCTGGTATTTTTCTATGAATTTGAGTATAGATAATTGCTACATCATCATTGATAACTCATTGATCCAGGATGATGAGTAAGACTACTAGAGGGTTTTAATCAAGTTAGAACAACACTATGTGGTGGCTGGCATGAAACCTATCTAGGATGAAGCATATACAAGATGCTCACTATCGTTGTTGCTCTTGTTCTTGTTCTTTGCTTTCATTATCTAGAACCACTCCCTCCCAAAAATTCCATGTTAACACGGATTGACACTTTTTCCCCTACAGCCTACATGTTTTGGTTTTTCATAAACTATAATGCATAATCACAATTAATCCTATTATTGGTTTTGATAGAACAGTGGGAGCATAAAAAAAATATGCATGTCATCCAGAGGTACAAGAGAGGATGCCATTCAGTGCACACTGGCCTCTCTGGTATTCACATGCTATCATGAATCTTTTACGTTACTGTTGAGCCTTTGCCCTATTCAAAAGAAGTCTTTGGTACTTCTCCTCTTACTAAAGTCTTTCAAGGAAAAAACAAGAAAATATTTTATCAGAACCTATAAAAGATAAACGCTTAATAAAAAGAAAATATGGTTCACAGAAGCGACATATGTGTAGCACAAGAAAGACAGCTGCAGAAGAAGAAACACAACTACGCTATCATTCTTGACAATCAATAATTATGCAACTGCATACACTTACATCTTCCGAACCCATTCCCATCTGGGGCTTGTAAGTCACGCTTTTGGTAAACTTCAACTCATCAGCAATTCTTACTTGCTCCACGGGTTTCCCTCGTAGTATAATCTGGAAGTTTGAGAATTTTCTGAGGTAAAGAATAGAAGCATATGCCTGCAAATATTGAAATTGATGTAAATTGCACAGTCATGACTCCTAAGGATATATAAAACAGCAATATCCAACATTACAAAGTTAATAAAACTTACCCGCAGTGAGTACCTCAGGGTACTAGAAAAGTGTAATTGGACCATCTCCTTATGGGATTGGGACCTTGATGAGACAGTGGTATTTGATTGATTTCTCAGCAATATATCCTGCAATTTATTAATGCAGACAATATATTAGTTTCTGTGCTAACCTGCGCAATAAGCATCAAAAATCTGTAGTCCATTTAACTTGTGCAGTGAGCATCAAATATCTGTAGTCCATTTAAGAAAATGGTAGTGCAGAAAACAATTTCAAGAAGAATGTGAAATGTTAAGAGCCCTGTCCTCTTGAGGATGCTCATCTACCTTCTCCATTCAAGTGCAGTTCTATATTGCATTAATCACATTGCCCACATCCCAAATCAGTGCAATGTGTGGTTGGAAGAAGGGTGTTAAAGTAAAATCCTCCTAGAAGGAATAAGCTAACATTACACGATACATGGTGGAAATAAATAACATAAACCTGAGCCTACAAATTAAGCAACAAAATAATGAGGTAAAATTTGTACTCTTACATAGTGGTTAACGAATGAAAATATCAAATCTCAACAGTCGAAGCATCATAAAGAAAATAATGTGTACCTCATCATCATCATCAAAGTCTAGTTCCAAGAGACCCTCATCGTTCATCCATAAGTTGTATATCAACACTTTGGTTCCATGAGATTCAAGATCCTCAAACTAAACCACCAAAATGTTAAAATATAACTCAGTTTGCAAAGTGAAATTCGTAAAGTATGCACCAAGAATACAATTTCATTTAACTAAAAAAAAGTGATTTGATAATTTTGCATGTTTTAATCTGAGCAATGCATTGACTATAAATTTAGGTTTATTTCAGGAATGCAGTTAAATAGTAAAATGGAGGTAAATGCACACCATAACTCTCTCATTGCATAAATTATCCCAAAGATGGGGCTCATACCCAGTAACCCGTGCCTAATATTGCAAATCAGTCACAATAAAACAAACTTTCATAGACTCTCTCCTCCCCTGAAGTGAAGAAGATCATATTTACATGAGTAAGAGCAAACCTGAACTAACAATGACATCAAATAGAATTACACTAATCCTTATTACTACAATTAAAATCCTAACAAATCTTTTCTAATCATAATTGCAACAATCCACATCTGTTTTGCAATCCATCAGCTATCAAAACCATACTGATAAAATAAGTGTACAATTAGGCAAACTTTATAACAAGAGTGCAGGATATAAAAACAGTCCCACTGCGAGCTTTTACAACTTGAAAGTCACAGGATATAAATTTTGTTAGAGATTCTCATTACGTTAAAGGCCATGTAGCATGATACATGACATATCCAAGACTACCTGCCGAGATTGGCTTCAACACCTCAAGAATCTTCACACTTCACTTTCAGCCTTGCTGATTAACTACATTCAGCTTCCTACTAGCACATTAAAGTTCACATTAACCTGACCTATCGCATAGATGATACCATTTCTCCCCTCTATGTCTCTCTTTTAGTCAATCTAAATAATTTCTTAAGCAAGATGCACCACAGAAGCGTGTCCTCCTGGGAAAAATTTTTAGGGTGTCCTTATTTGTATGTTGTTGGAGAACTTTTCTGAAATTATGCAATTTCAATCATGCTAGTTGGCAATACATTATTTCGCCAGCTTGCTTTTCCAACTAGATCAAATAATCATTTTAACCAATAATTAGCATAGACTTTCTTTAAATGACCTAAACAGCGGATACTAGTCAAAAAGATATCATTGTTTGAGAAAAACCTTGAAAAAAATAATATGGAGTTTCGCCACAATTAGCAAGATGCAATGGGATGTGTCCTCCCCTTTAGTACAGCTGCAACTTTTAAATGTTGTTCAACTACACATGGAGATCCAAAATCATGTAAACAAACACCAACCTTTTTGTTGCTTTTTAGTCGGAGATGCATGGGGCTCTAACTACAAGCAACAACAAAACAGACTCAGTGAATGAAGCACACCATAAAGTTTTCTAAGGATGATGTACTTTGCACCTGTTAGATCCTATAATTTGTAGACAAAGGCATGAATGACACGTAATAACAAAGAAAGAGGAGCCCGGCACTCTCCAAAGCAAATGTATGAGGCACGATTTCGAATGTGAATAGTTTGTGTGGTGTTTGTGCCTATTTATAAAACCTTAAATAATGAAAATTGACCAAGAAAATTACCATAGTATGCTAATGTGGACTTATTAGTCAGTTCAGAAACAAGTGCCAACAGTAATGGACACATACATTGTACTAAAGAGATAACCATCCTTTTGGTAATAGAAAACTGTCTTGCGTATCATGGGTTATGCCAGGAACTTCATCCTCTACAATGTCATGAAACAACAGTGAGTATTTCACTACTTATATGCTTACTAGTTACTACAATTGATGGGACTCCAGCACATGACATTGACAAGGAATTGAGGAAGAAAGTTGCGTTTAAGAAAAGGACTGCTGCTTCAGTTAGATTAATAGAATTTCCAGCTAAGCTACTTGAGTAAGGAGCAAAAATCGTCTAATTATGTGATGCAGAAAATAACAATTTCCAGTAATAAAACACAACGTGTGATACTAACAAAATAAACACAAAATTCAGGACTAATAAGAGCAGGTCAATAAGCAGGAAACAAGAAAAGCGGTTACACTCAGAAATATCCATGTTCAGCCTAATAACATGCAATGCTTAAGCTGAGTCTATATTATTGTTACAAAACCTGTTGCATAAGTTTTTCCTTTGAAGAAAAAGGAGACCACTCGAGAATTATTCTCAAGCTATCATCCCAGTCATCTTGTGAACCATAAGTCAACGGTGCTTGTTGGCCTCCAAGAATTTGAAAGTCAACCTGCAGTAAAAGAAACAAATTACTCAATTTAGAAAAGAGTTACTATCTTATACATTAAAAAAAGGTAGGTAAATAGAGAAGAAATCACCATAGGGACAAAAATATCATCTTTAATTGTTCTTCTTAAAAATGTATATGAGAGCAGACCTATGCTCTGGGTTTCACAACTGTCAGGAAAAAGGCTAGTCAGATGAATGACATCTACTATAAATGAACTTATAGAGCATAACAAAATAAATAATAAGTGGTTACTTTTTCTTATTTCTAGCATACTTTTCGTTGTGAAGCAATCAAATTTGTAGAGAGAGTCAACAAACAACCAGCATTCAGAAAGAACACAAAATAGTGTAAATGCAACTTTCGGGTTGCTGGAATGTAGCGTTATATGCATAATTTGTACTTCAATGAATGTGATAGCACAGATTCTGAAAAGAGCACAGGAAAATTATTACCTTCCACGATTTGCACGACTGAACACAATTGCATCAGCACCTAATCTCATAGTACTAGTCTTGAAGCCGTTACCATCTACAAAATCAGTGACGTATGAGATAAAAATATGCAAAAAGAAGATACCAGGAGAGATGATTAAGAATGAACAACTTCTTACAAAGCACACTGAAATAAACAGGCTATAGATAAATTAATAACCAACAAGAAAAGGATGAGAAAGAAAAGGTAAGAGAAGTAAAACAATGTGGCATACTGGCATATGAATAGGAGGCTGTCAAGCTGCAAAGCTACCCAAAGAATAACTTACATTGCCCTATGGTTGTCTTTGATTTCTTATTTGAAAACCCTAAGCTCATGCAGCGGCGGATACCTTCAGGATCCATTCCTCCTCCATCATCTACAAAAGGATGCCTTTTTAAATTAGATTGGCATAGCTGGTAGCTAACAGTTCAAAACCATTCATCTGTTGCAGCATATACCTTGAAAGAGTAACATAGGACTATTATCTCTGGGGTTGTTGACTTTATCCACCATTATAAATGTTGCACCATTGCAAATCTGAAATTTCATGCATGTGTGACAAAGTATTTTTTAGTGAAACAATTAAATTGGAAATGAAAGAAAAATAAAATTAATTTTTAGAAGTAGAGAGAAAAGGTTTATACAACAAAATAGACAACATAGATAAAACAAGGGACAAACGGATTTGATCCTGCAGGAAATAGCCTAAAAATAAGGTTCATGGGGACTTAATGATGGCACCAAGATATGGATGGTAACTTAATTAGTCCAAGGACATGAGATCAGGAAGTTAAAAGCTTTCACCCATTGATAATAAGGCTTCATAATGAATTTTATTTAAGAAACAATACCAATTGATGCAATGGTGAAAGCTTTACAAACAACCTGATCTCTCATCAGTGGACGGTGACAGGTATTAATAAGTTGCCCCATTTTGAAATTCTCACAAAAATTACTTTGAGGGCTGTTCCAAAACAAGTTCCTCTACACACGATACATGAATGCATGTATATACTGCAAAACCACATATGTTGATATCAAATTTGATTTCTTTTAGACTAAAAGTGATTACGATGAAGGGTTAATTTCACAATGTTGCACACAACCCCCTAAACTTTGTTTATCTCACTTACACCCACCCCCACCCACCGCCGCCAAAAAAAAATCTAAAATTTAGGAGAGGGGATATGATGCCTGCAAATGACAAAAGACAAGTTTGAAAGTTTTTCAGGCAAAGAAATTTTGGTTATTTGCAAATTACACGTAGAGGGTCCAGTGAGGAAAGCTCAAAGTTCAAGGGAGTTTTCTGAAACACCCCGAAGTGCAGGGGGTAAGTGATATGTACAAAATTCAGAGGGTTATGTGGCAAACCAGCAGCACACCCCCCCCCCAAACCAAAAAAAGTTAGCTGAGGTATGTGAAAATTAACCCTACATAAAAACCTTTATCTAGCAGTGAGTTGTTACTTACCTCATCAACAGCATTGTCAAGAAGCTCAGCTATAGCTGCATTACGTGGACAAGAAAAATGATAATCAACTTTTAACTGGACACAAGAGACGTACAAATAAAACAAAAGGACTAGTTATGAAATATAAGTACAAGTGCACAACAAATACTCAAAAACAAATTACCTAACAAAATAACCACAACAGAGATCACTGTGATAGAGTTCAAAACAATTCCATATACTGAAAACAGCAACAAATCTTGAAGTATAATATAGCAAATAAAATATCTCGATGAAGTGTCCAAGAAAATTTATCAGATGCTGTAAAAGAGCATAGGTAAGATTTAAATTTTAAAATACGAGAAATAAGTTCTTTTTCTCCTTCATGCAGTGAGGATCCTACTCCCGCAGAAAAACAATTTTCATGTTACGCCCAGCAAAACAATTCTTCCTTTCATGTAAAAACAAATCATCTTAATCAAGAATCTACGTCCCTTCAGCCAATTACTGGTACCAAAAGACAATATTTCGTACAACTCTGCAAAAGCTTTTGCTTAGACTGTGAAGACGACGAGTCAACAGTGTGGGTCGAAAGGTTCTTATGAGAATAGGGACAATTTGCGTCTAGGGTTCCACATAAATTTAAAAAAAAAATAAGACATTTGGGATATTAAAATGAGATAGTCCCGAATTGGAATTGCTCGAGTCGATGAGATGAAAATTAAATAAGATAACAGAAGAAGAAGCAACAAACCTCCGAAAGCCCACTTGTGGGACGTCGCGTTGGAGTGGAGGAACTTCGGGTGGACGCGAGCTCGGTCGAAACCAGAAGATTCCAGTCGCCCTAGACAAATTTGAGGAAAAAGATGCAACTTTTAGAGGGGGGCGACGTCGGTTGATTTCTTCAGAAGATGCTGAAGAAAGGGATAAGGGTGAGAGACCTTGGGGGTTCAGAGACAGAGCGGACGGCGACCATAGTTAGGAGCCTGCCTTCAGAATTGCCGGCAGTCGAGGGATTATGGGGCACGTTTTGGGGACGATGCCGCGGCCTGGGCATCGGGGCTTGCAGGATGCAGAGACAGAACTAGCTGCTGCGCTTTGTTCCTCCTGTCTATCGGTGGCGGTGGACGGGTGTTTCTACATGTATTAACTGTTTTGGCAACGGCAGACCAGGAAGGCGCGGGCGTGGCCCGCGTGACCTATGGACCGGCTTGGCGGTTATAGCCGGTCGGCGTCTGACGCGCGCCGGGCTTTACGGAGACCCCAGCCTCGCCCATGGACCGGGTTCTAAGCACCAGTGCTTTGCTTTCGTATGTAGCTTAGGGTTTGACCCAGCTCGGCCCATGGCCATGTTGAATAATGGGCTGAGTGTCAACGGTTCAGCCAGACTCGTGCACACCCCTACGGGCAACGATTACATTATTACTTGTACTTCAGGGGTAATTAATTGTAAATTTGTCCCTTAAATCAATCTTAATTGCCAATTAATCCCTCAAGTCCCGATATTTGCCCATTAGTCCCTTCAATCTTCCTTTCTATTGCAAATCTGTCCCCTTTGTTTCGTGGCGTTATTTATGAGGGTGAAATTCTGTTAACTCAAACGAAAATTAACGGTTTCCTGTAATACACACACTCATATTTGACACTGCCATTTAAAAAACTTACCAACACGTTTCATAATAGGTTTATACCGACAATCCGCAACCAAATCCATCAAGCTACAAGCGGAGGTTGCCTATATCTAAGGGGATTGGCATATAACTTGGGATTTAACATGATTTTCAGGCTTTTCCTAAATATACCAAAAAGTTTTTCGCAAACATGTGATTTTGAGTTTGTAATCACAGATGCATGTTTCCTATGCCTTAGCATGTTTGTTATAATGTCAGGAACGTGAGCGAATGTCGATATCACTTAGATGATTTAGACAATTAATCATAATTATGTTGTAAATGAAGAAGATACCTCAATATGTGAGTTACAGATATATTATGTGGACCATGGTTTAATTAAAAGGCCCACTCATGCATGATGATGAAATTTATTATGCCTTGACTCGATCCACGATTGATATATTACCAGGTATGCTTGTTTGGAAATATTTTATATCCTCTTGAGGTTTCACGTATGTTTGCTATTTGATTGTCCTATATCCGATGTATCACAACACAGGTTTTTGAAATTCGTTTGGAATTTCTCACTCAAGCTATTTGAAGGATAATGTCATTGGATTTATGATTTGGAATATCATTTTCTTTGAGCTCTCAGTTATGGAGGACACCCCAAATGAACATTTTGTTAACTATCATGAAAGGATGTTTTCTATTACATGAAGTCATCGGTTTATTTTAATTGCATTTCTTATTTCTTATTCTGTATTTTGCTCGTGCTCACACATATGAGTCTTACAAGTTGAATAAGTAATATAGAGCAAATAGTGAGAAGTGAAATTGCTTCATTAGCTTAGAAGGTAGGAGCCTTATTTTTTTATATCTCATGTTTAGTATCTAAAGATTTCTTTTTTAGTCATATGCATATGCTTCAATTTAAATTGAACATAAATTTTTTTTTCAAATTGACGCTTCTTTTTTACAATTTTTTAATATATACTCATTTGTTTATGGATATAAGCATACAAATGGCTTATATCAATAACTTAGAATATATAGATTATTGAAAATTATATAATTTAAATTAGAGTTTTTCTTCAAATAGCTTCAAACTAAAAAAAATCAATATAAGGTGGTGGATGACTTTTGTTTTAAAATTTGAATTTCAGAGCTAGATAGTTTAACCACTAGCCTCTCTTTTACAATATTGCTCTTTATATATAATATTCTAAGATAAAAAACAAAAAAGAAAAAATAGGCTTGTCAAATGAGTGCGTGTATATTTTATATTTTAAAATTTTAAATTTTGTAAGAACCGTAAAATTTTGATATTAATTAAAATAATTTTCTAGTATTTTAAAATATTTAATTATGATTTTTAAAAAAGTGTTTGTATTTTTTTGGATTTTCTAGATTTTTTTATGATTTAAAGTCCAAGTTTTATATTTATTTAAATGAAATTAATATTTATAAATTAATTTTGTGCGATGAAATTTTTTGGAATTAATCTGTTGTATTATTGATACTATTATGTATTATTTTTAAATAATATGTGGTATTATTATTATTATTATTATTACATATTATTTCGTATAATACATTGTATTATTAATTACATATTATTTGTATAATTTGTTATACTATTTCTTCTGTTGCATATTATCTACCGTATTAGTATAACTGATATGTTTTACTATGTGGATAATTATCTCATAATTATTTGATTTTAAATATGCGTAATTATATTTTTTTATTAATTATTCTTGTTTAATTGTACGATTTATTGTATTATTTCTATTATTGCATATTATCTATTGTATTAATACAACTGATATATTTTAATGTATAGATAATTTTCACATAATTATTTAAATTATTTCATAATTATTATTATTTTCAAATATTTTTCAAAACCCTAAATCTCCTATATAAGATTATATAACATACTATATATATATATAATATATATATAATATATTAATATTATATATGATAAATATAATATAAATATATGATATATATAAGAGAGAGAAGAGAGAAGAGAATATGGGTATGTTTGGTAGCATTATATATATATATATATATATATCACTAAATATATATATAGATAATATATATAGTATATAATATAATAGAGAGAGAGAGAGACGAGAGAGAGAGAGAGAGAGGAAATATGGGTATGTTTGGTAGCATATATATTAATATATATATATATATATAATACTATATTATATATATATATAGTATATATATATATATATATAATAATCTATATATATACTACTAGTATATATATATATATAACTTATATATATAATAATATATATATATATAGTATATATATATATATATATATATATAGTATTATATATATATATATACATATAATAATATATACATATATATATTAATATACATAGCATTATATATAGTAATATATATATCAGTGTATGATATATATATATATACAGTTATACTATATATATATATACATATATATATATATTATATATATATATATTATATATATACTATATATATATATATATTATAGAGAAAACGGGAGTGAGCTGCAGCGTAGGAAATTTCCTACGCTGGGGCAAGTGTATGACAAGTGAGCCACCCTACTAGTCATATCGGTGTGGGGCTCACGATGTCATACACTTGCACGCGTAGGAAGATGTTCCTACGCGGGCAGCTCACCTCCCGTTTTCTCTCTCTCTCTCTCTCTCTCTGCTCTATTATATATAGTATATATATACTATATATAGAGGCGACCGGAGAGAGCAGAGAGAGAGAGAGATGAGAGAGATGAAATACCGACGCCGCTATGGCTCTGGTACTAAACACAAAAAATTATGGCCTTAGTAGTGAGGTATCACATCTCCCGTCCACTCAATCTCAAAATGTGGGAGCGCAAACATTCACATGATTATAGTGTCATGAGGATGGTACACATCACTAACCCAAGCACAGAAAATTTATGCTTGGAGTAGCAAGGCATACCCATATTTCTTCATATATACTAATATATATATATAATATATATAATATAAGGTATATATATATATATATATATATATATGTATATAATATATAAATAATTTAGTATACTAATTATATAGTATATATAATATATATATATTATACTATATAGTAATATATATTAATATATATATATATATATATATTATATATATATATATATATAGCTATATATATATATATAGGTATATATAATAATATATATATATATAGATATATAATACCATATATATATATATATATAGCAATAATTATATAAATATATATTATATATACAGATTAATGGGTATCCTTGTCATACGGAGGGGATTTCCTTCTTGACTGCTCAAAATCACATGATGAGCACATTATGGATGATGCCCTTCCGTTGAACTTCATCTACATATTCTATAAACCACACTAACTCAGCAAGTTTGGGGTGACCACCCGTTCGTCAGTTTGACCTCCATCGAGCCATGTGGAACAAGTTCTATTCATCTCAAACAACCGTTAAAATTGATACGAGGCTGGGACTGAAGGGTCAAACGACAGACGGGTTCACCCAAACTGTGGTGGTTGGGTTTAGAATATGTAGATATTCACCGAGCGCGATCATCCACCAATGTCGCTCAATAGCATGTGATTTTCAGAGGCGTCAATGAGAATCTCCTATGACAGATACCCATTAACTCATATATATTGGATACTATATATATAGTATACCTTTACTATATATATACTATATATATATATATATATACTATACTATACTCTATATATTATATATATACGTATATATACTATATATATCCTGAGTCTGAGCATGTGCAACTTAACTAATCAATACGTCACTCAGTAGATTGTTGTCTGGGTTAGGCCTATGAACCACCTAGCAGAAATATGAGTTGGACAACGAGCCACTCCAAAAGAAATTTGTATTTGGTTGTGAACCACTTAATCATGTGCATGAGATAGGTCATCGAATGCCTATGCTCCTTAACCTATACTGTTATGGGATGAGTTTCACATTAGTGCTCAGGAAGTTATTTTTCTTTAGTTGTTACAAGAAACTTGTTGCAAATTTGTGATTGTTGAGGTCGTTCGCGACTATTTAGATAAACTACGGGCGACTTGATCCTTTGGCAGAGAGGGTACCTAGGCAACCATATTAGTGCTTTTAAAGCTTGTACGAGTTTTGGTTGAGATGTTCTTGCCGACGTGTAA